GCCGCCCTCCAACTATTGGCATCCATGTCAAATTTTTCCTACAGCTTTGAGTTAATGATAAACACGAAAACTCTCCCAGGCTTCTGGTCAATAGACTAATTTATAGAAGGAAAATTTATCAAAATGGACTAAAATGTTATCAAAAAGTGCATATTTTCAAACCTTCGTTTTTAAGTTTTTTGTTTTGAAATTGAAAATATATAAAAATGATGAAATTAGTCAAATTACACTGCACAAAGTCACAAACCACAGTGTTAAAAAGTGAGATTTCACCCTCCATCCAAAAAAAAAGTGAGATTTCAGTGATTTCCGCATTCATTACATCATTCATTGAGTACATTACATTGACTATCCTAATTATATAATTTCATCTTCATTTTTTTTATCATATAATTTCATCTTCATTGATGCCTACAATATTGACGATAAAAAAATAGTTTTAATATTTATGGGGTGTTTGGAACTGATTCTGCTTCTTCTTCTTTTTTAAAGCAGAATCAGTTTTCAGAAGCTGGTACCCCCAACTTCTAAAAAAACTGATTCTGAGAGTAAATTAGAGCACAAGAAATGCTTCTGGAATTTCACCCAAACACTCCAGCTTCTGCTTCTGCTCCTTGAAAGAGCAGAATCAGTTTTGAGAATCAGATCCAAACACCCCCTAATTTAGTACTTCATTCATATTTCATTATTTATAATACACTCCGTTTCCTCTCCATAAAGATTTGTATTATTTCAATGAACGCCATTACATCTTACTTGACTACTTTTATTCTAGATTATTTATCTATTATATGGAGTATAATTTAGAAATAATGACAAGAATAATACCAAGGACTTTTGGCTGGACAAAAATAGGACTAGATTTGATTTGGACAAAAAAGAGATTTAAATTTTAACTAATGGACCCATAGGCCCCCATTCGGCTATCCCTATCCCTCCCGTCTAAATTGTCCGCTTCTTCCCCCTAGGCCTGGGACCGGTTCGGTTCCTAGGCAAAATATGTGGAACCGTTTGAAAATATAAAATTTTACTAACGGTTCGGTTCTTATAAATTATTTTAAAGAACCGATAAGGAACCGAACCGTTCTTAACGGTTCGTTCTTGTCATTTAACGGTTCCTAGTCTTTGAAGAAATTCTTACAAATCACGACTAAATTTTTGCCAAAAAGACATTCAACGTTAGAAATCTCAATACATATATGATGAACCAGTTAAAGAGAATAATAATTTTAAATACTCTGGACCTTCCGAGTTCCGACCAGCTGGAGTTTGGACCTAATGAGAGGCCTAAGAAGCCTAAGAGAACTGGTTGAAATAAATAATAGTTTTAAATAGTTAAATAACTAAACTAAAATAATGAATATAATATAAAAATAAATAAGTAAATATACATTACAATATATATATTCATAAAAATATATTTAATTTTAATTATTATATATAACGGTTCCTTAACGGTTCCTGGTACATATTTTTTTCAGGAACCGAGAACCGAACCGTTAATAAAAATTAGGAACCGAACCGTTAACAAATAACTAATAAATGTTGGAACCGAACCGGGTCATAACGGTTCGGTCCGGTTCGGTTCTCCGGTTCTTGGTTCCAAAGTCCCAGCCCTACTTCCCCCTATCCCTCCTGTTGAAACAATCGCTTCTCTCCAATAGATAACCATAACCGGCCCCTCTTCAGAGCTTGCACCATGGATCGTCGCTGCCCTTCACCGAAGAGCTTTGGATCTACAACGAAGACCGGGTCTACATCTCGCTTCTTCTCATACCCCTTCTTCAGACACGAACTCTTCTAGATCGACAATGAGTCAGGTTGTTAGTTTCAAATCGCACAGTGGCTGGAGACATGGATTCGGGGTGGGGTGCGGGGCGAGTACGGTGGGTGGCTACGGTTCAACCTATGAGTCGATTGCGGTGATCGGTGCTGGATCTAGGGGCGAGGTATGGAGGAGGGATGAAACGGTTACGGGGTGAGGGGGTGGGCGGGTGAGGGGTGGGTTTGCAATTGTGCAAGGTTTAGGAGTGGGCTGGGCGGCGTAGGGACAGGGACGGCGGTGGCAAGGGGTTTGGGAGGTTGGAACGGGGTTGGGGCTAGGGACGGGCTGAGTAGGCTGGCCACTGGAGAGGGGAGAGGCTGACTGACAGGGCGGTTGGGCAAGGGCTGTGGCAGGGGGTTGGGGAGGCTGGAGCCGGGTTGGGCTTGGGGCTAGAAACGGGCTGAGAAGGCTGGTCACCCGGAGAGGGGAGAGGAGAGGGGCTCACTGATGGGGCAGTTGGGTAGGGGCGGTAGCCGACAATGATCAGTGGCAGTCGGTGGTGGCCGACAATGACCGGTGGCGGTGGCTAGTGTGCGGGTAACTGTAACTATAGGTAGATGGTCCAAGTAATTGTAATTGTTCGGTCGGGTGAGACAATTGTAATTGATTTGATCGAGTAATTGTAATTGATTGGATCAAGTAAGGGGGCGTTTGGTAGTTTACACATTAAATCTTTGCATGCAAAATGATTGCATGCAAAGTATAGGGAAACAATCATTTTGCATATAAAATAGATTACATTGTTTGGCCGGATGTGTAATTTATTTTTAAATTGCACGCAAAGTCGTTGCAGTGCTTCATAAAAGGCGTGCAAAGTATTTTACCACCCTCCCCCCACGTAAAATATTTTACATAGTACAGTGTGAAATGTTTTAAAAAAGTGTCCTACAGTTTACATTAAATAATCAAATCAAACAGTGTAAACATTTTACGTCCTTACACTTCGCATGCAAAGTAATTATTTTACATCCTACCAAACGCCCCCTAATTGTAATTTATTTGTTCTGGTAATTTTAAATGGTTGAACCGAGTAACTGTAATTGGTCGGATGAATAACTGTAAGTGGTTGGATCGAGTAACTGTAACTCCTCGGGTCAAGTAACTGTAATTGATCAGATAATTGTAACTGGTCGGATCGGGGTTCGGTAATTGTAACTGATCGGGTCCAGTAATTGTAACTGATTAGGTAATTGTAATTGACATCAAACACCTCTAACTAATCGGGCTGGTAATTGTAATAGAATGGGTTAAATAATTGTAAATCATTACGGGATTTGTAATTTCGGATATATGAAAATCATACTATTTTTTTTAAACTTGGAATATTTCAAAAAAAAATCTTGGAAGTTGCTGACTTGTTGTAGCGTTGGAGGAACATGGAAGTGGGCCATCTAATTTTCAAAGCAGGGGGCGGAACTGCCGAAGTAGCGGAACATTAGTAAGAGGGTGTCTTTGACATTTCAGCCTTAATTATTTAAATGAATCACGTGCATGGTCTCTTTTTTGGCATTTACATAAAGAGGTTTTAGATTTGTCAAAATGCTTTTAATTAGTAATATCTATGATCTAATCCCTATAATTTACTACTTTTAAAATCTAATTTTCTCCATAATGCATAATATTGTGTTCTAAAGGTGAAAAATGCTCCCTCCATCCCATAACTTTACCCACTTTCCTCTTTTAATTATTCATAAAACTTTAAAAACTTTTTTAGTAAGCACTTCATTGAGTGCTGCCCAGGCTTCGGCTAGTAGGAATGGGCTGGGACAGGTCGGGTTGGGCCCGGGACCGGGCAGGCTTCGGGACTAAGGAATTCAGGCCTAGTACCGACCTTGGTATGCTTCACGATCAATTCGGACCCAAATAGTACCTGGTTGGCCCGAGCTTGCGTCCGTACCACCCATTTAATCAAAAAATTAAAAAAAAAATAGTGTAGTTGGGCCTGGACCAGGCCCGGCCATATCGGGCCCGAAGCGCACCCCTTATAACTACCAGTCCAAGGCTTGTGTCGGGTCGAGCCTAAACAATCCCAGACCAAGCCGGGCCTAAATAGTAATGGGTCGGGCCGGGTCCGAGTCAGGTCGAACCGTCCCAATCCATCCCTACTAGCTAGTGGCTAGGCCGCTAGGGCAAGCTTGGCTACCCCAGTGTGAAATTATGGAAGTGTTATATAGATAGTAATGTAAGCAACATCTCCACTGAAAGTACAAGACCATCTAATAACCTTGAGTGACGGTATTTAAAATGTTAGTTTATTGCCCCTTATACTATAAATTAATGTGAATTACGTTATATATAGCAAAAAATCACACATTTAATACGTAGTAAAATTCAAAAGATAAGTATGATTAAGTCCCTTTTAAGATAGGAGCCCTTGTTTCATTTCTTAACAAAATAAGTTAGGTGCTTAAATTTTATTATCATGAGTGATAATGAAATTTATCAAAAGTGCACGAAAAATTCAAAGAAAGATACTAGATGGTACGCCCCATCACCGTCAGAAATTGCCGGAGGAAGACAATGAACATTAGCTCTGATTTTCAAAAGTGAACAAAATATTTAAAGAAAAATTCTAGGAGGTGCACCTCATCAAGGAAACCTTAGGCCATGTTTATTTTTTTTTCCTAGCCACCCTTATCAATTGTCACCGAAAATTCGACCAGAAAATGATAATAGCAAATAGTGGTGGACCGGGCCCGGTCCGATTCCAATTCGGGCCTGGAAGGTTTTGGGTAAGGACCGGCCCGGCCGCCCGGGAGGCTACCGGCCCAACCCATCCCAAACCCAAAAAAACAAATAAAAAAGAGGCCCGAAACCGGCCAGGCCGGTTCATCTTTTTGGTGTACCGGAACCACCCCCCTTACCCCCTCGGGCCGGGCCTATGCCTGGAACCTGTATTCCGGGCTGGGCCCGCACAGTAGCAGGCCGGGCCGATTCCCAGACTGGTCGGACCGGGTCCATGACTAATAGCAAATATGTTTTTAAAAAGTAAAACAAACAAATCCCAAAAATCCAAAGAGAAAATTGGAACACTTTTGAAAATTGGAGGTTCATCGTTTTCTTTGGCAATCTCTAACGCCAGCAATCTCTAACGGCATTAGACATCAGGCCCCTCATGCGTTTGCGGAATTTAAACACATGGCCCTCTTTATTAAGAAACGAAGCACATGAAAATGAGTCCAACCAAAAGTACTTTTTTCGTACTTTTCCCAATTCAAAATTATCAATTCTATACACGAAATTCAGACGTCTTAAACATGACATTTCTGATTTTTTTAATACGATTAATATATTTCACATCATAGTACTAAGATTATATTGGGGAAAATGCTAGGGGTACACAAGTTGTACACAACTTGTACACACAATTTCGGTCACAGACAATTGGTACAGAGTTGCCTGTGACCACAGACAAGAGTTGTCTGTGTACACAGACAAATTTTGTCTTTTTCTACGGACATTTACTTTTTTGTAAAAAGTACACTGAGAACCGTCTGAGTCTGACACTGACAAAAACTTTTTACAAAAAAGTAAATGTCTGTGGAAACAGACAAAATTTGTCTGTGTGCACAGACGACTCTTGTCTGTGGTCACAAGCAACTCCGTACCAATTGTCTGTGACCGACATTGTGTGTACAAGCTGTGTACAAGTTGTGTACCCCTAGCATTTTCCGGTATATACCACTAAACTTCAACAAACTTGGAGCCCCATAGGCCATATCTGGTGGGCCCTATTACATAGAATTGATTTAACATGTTCACCGGCCCTGCCGATTTGTTGAATTAAATGGAAGCAATATATATCATCACAAATATATATACTAAATAGAGCATTTTCAATTATTCTATAGACATACAATAACTATATTTATTGCAAGAGGAGTGGTTAGGCTGCTGTGGTCATGCAGTCTTCCCATGTCCCATACTTTGAGCTAAAACTTCCCCCGCCGCATCGCTGAGCATAATCAGAAATAGCTGCCCGAGTGCAACAATCCCAAGCCCTTGCAATATCAGCCAATGACATTGGTTGCGAAAGACTTCTAAGGGAGGTAGAAAGCCTCGACCTAATTACGCCGGACAAATTTTCATACTCTTTACTGTGGTCAAACAGATGATTGATAATTATCAGTTCATTTTCTGTTGTTTGGGAGAGGGGATATAATTTTAAAACGCAAGCAGTCTTATTAACTAACATCAGACAATGTAAATTTAAAAATAAGCATGAAGATTAATACAGTGATTACCACTGACCTGACTTCAACTGGAAAGCTATCTACAAAAATTGGGGAGCAATTTGGATAATTTGCAGGAACAAGCAATCTCAATGACTGAATTGGCGACTGTCCAGTAAAACAAAATGAAATAAAACACACTTAAAATAGAGTCAATTGAAGTTCTACTCAGCCTTTGGGGGGGGGGGGGGGCAGAAAAACTTACCATTTGATCCAAAGCACATTGTGATTTTAATTTTGGACTGAGAGACACAGCCCTAAAAGAGCACTTGACCAGAGTGCCGCCTTTACCCCCATCAATTGCAGCATCAGCAGCTAGAACACTTGGCTCATCACTGATTTCAACTACAGTATCAATCAATCGCTGATTAATCTCCGTTATCTCTTTAATGAGTGCATGGTCAACCTACAAAGGCAAACGAGCGATTCTGTGTTGTCAAATGAGATACTCCATATGCCCTAAGATGTTCTTCCCACTTAGTCATCCTTAAAAATTCTTCTCTCATTTCCTTTTAACAGAGGGAGTAAGTGGGATTAGATTACAACGGTTGAAAACTGAAGAGACAAGGCCTCCCAATTCATATGAATTAAGTCATTAACGGTGGCTGCCATCTAAGAACAAGTATCATCTTGAATGTTTGTTTTCTTTTTTTCTTCTTTTTAATGACAAACCTTTAAGAATGATATATTTCATTGCTAACATAGTTCATCAACACTTTATACTATGAGTCAAAGAAATTGTTTTCTTTAGAAGGAAGACTTGTCCGTTTCATATTTTCCTACATTCATTCATCATCATTACCCCAGTGCCGCAAAGGCTCCCACCTACAGTGGGGGAGGAGGGTCGGATGTACGCAGCCTTACCCCTGTACTAAAGTACTAAAGCACAGGCAGACTGTTTCCGGGTGATCCATGGTGAAAATCTTTTTCTTCTTTTTAATGACAAACCTTTAAGAAATCATATTTCATTGCTCACATAGTTCATCAACACTTTATACTATCAGTCAAAGAAATTGATTTCTTTAGGAGGAAGACTTGTCAGTTTCATATTTTCCTACATTCATTCATCATCATTACCTACGGTGGGGTAAGGAGGGTCGGATGTACGCAACCTTACCCCTGTACTAAAGCACAGTGAGACTGTTTCTGGGTGATCCATGGTGAAAATCGCGTCAAAAATTGCATGGACTTCCTACACGATGAGCAAAATTGCAATTCTAGTTTCTGGTGGTACCAAGTTTTGTTCATATCCCGAAGGCACTTTGAAGCTACAACAATGTCTATTGGAAGCAAATGGAAATCAAACTTCAGAGTTTGGAAAAGCTCTAACTATTTGGGTGGTGCGGAGTATTGTAGATTATGAGCATATTCTTCAGCAAATGTAGATTATGTCCACAAAATTTCAGCTAAAATTCAATCGTGAAGGTAGTAAAATAAATTATTGAAAAACATTGCGCTTTTTATATACATTTTGGCGCAGTGTTTTTTAATGATTTATTTAACCCACTTCTTGGTTGAACTTTAAGCTGAAATTTTGAGGACAGAATCTGTATTTCATGAAAAACATGCTAACAAATTTTCAACAAAAAAAAAAACATTTGGAAACCCCTCAAATAGTCAAGTTTGGACGATGGTTCCCGTCAGAACTACCTAAGGTGATCACACACACACACACACAATTATCTACATTCCTTTGATCACTTTTATGTATATCTTATCTCTATTTTATATGTTATCTTTTTTATCTTTTCTTATCATACAATATCTTTTTTTCCTTTCCAATCTTTTTTTCCCTTTTAACTCCGATATCATGTATCGATTCATGTTAGTTGACTCCAAAAACTTTTGAAACTAAGGCTTGGATATTGTTTATACATTTTACGAAGATCATACTTGGATTCTTGGAAAGTGGTTATTTTGCCTAAAAAACCGTGAAGTCAAAACTAGGAACTTAAATGAGGGGCAGAGGGAGACATGGAGCAGTATAGAAGAAAACAGTTAGTAGATCCAAAACCACAATCAGCAACAAAATGAATAAGACAAAGATGGGTTGTTTATTTCAACAGAAAATCATAGAGGAAGACATTCCTACGTAGTATGGGTTCGAAAAGTCAATATTCCATCCACTGATACGTGAGTCAAAAGTATCCCATATTTTGTACAATAATCATCTGCCTTTTCATCTATTCAAAGGAAAACATCTCCAGTAAAATACAGTGTAAGATTGGAAAGGATATATCCTAATGTGAAACAAGTAAAATATGATCTTCTCCTTCAATAAGTTAAAGATAATACTACCTCTGTCCCATAATGTAAGATGCATGTGGGTTGTTGTGGGTTTTAAGGGAACAAAAAGGATAATGTGGTTGTTTTACAATACTACCCTCCAAAAAGTAAGAAAGAGAAACATGGATCAACAAAAGTAAAGAGTGAAATGATAGATAAAGGGATAAAGTGGGAAAGTAAAAAGTTAGTGGAGTCCAATTTTAGAAAGTGATCATATTTTTTTGACAACCCAAAAAGGAAAGTGTATCTAACAAAATGGGACGGAGGGAGCAGTAGACAGATAGTATACCTTTAGTTTCTTAATGCTGGAAGTTGCTGTAGACTCCAAATCAGATGCTTCAGAGCAATTCCAGAGTTCAAACCCATCATTAACACTCCCACTACATGACACTACATTTGACGTGGTATAGCATTTCTTTCTTTTTGGTCCAGTAGGTCCATCATGCGTGAAGAGATTTCTTGTGTGCAACCGACATTTAGTCATGGCAACCAAATCTTCACCAATAGCTGCTCTAGATCCATTTCCTGGTGCAGATCCAGCTACTCTATCAACCATACTGATGACAGAGCTGATGTCACTAACAGAGGTACTCAATGCCTTAGTTGACAGTGTTCTTACCTGAACGTAGTATAGGTAGGTTAAAGCAAGACTTAAGACCAAAAATGCTAGGTCATAACAAAAAAGTGGAATTATACTAACCGCATTAACCAAGCGTCCCATAGGTTGTTCAACTGTTGACTTCCCAGAAACGGAAGTTGATAGATTTGCATGTGCGCCATCTAGGCTGTTAATTTCAGGTAGCAATGGCGACGTTGATATTCCTGGAGTATCGATAGCTAGAGACTGAGCTGATGCAGAAGTTGTTTGCTGAATACCTAAATTCCCAGGACCAAGAAGAGATGGAGTGCCCATGCTAACTTTTTCAAAGTCACCTGGCATTGGTGATGGAGCCAAGGGGGTAGAAGGAGATTGGGCAAAAGGTGAACTGGCAGAATGAAGAGGTGTTCCCGTTTTTGTATGAGATGCCAAAGCATTTTGCTGGTCAAATTGAGGCGAAGGATGCTGGGAAAGCTGAGGAGAAGTTGTATGATGAAATTGGGGTGAAGATATAGTTGACTTAAGCTGTGGGTGATGCAAAGCCACACGTGGGCCAAATGGCTGATGTTGCTGGAAGACACTTGATTTCATACCACCAATTTGCTGCCTCATCTTTAGATCATTTGTTGTATCAACCATTTGGTGGAGTTGCGTCATCGACTGTGCAGCTGGTGGAGCTTGTGCTTGCTTTATTTGCTGCTGCTGTTGCAGTTGCTTCTGAAAAATTTGTTGCTCAATCTGCCGCTGATGCATCTGTTGTCTGAGCTGTTGGTTCTGCATCATTTGCTGATCATGTTGCCTAGGATGCTGTAGAACTTTAGAGTTTTGCTGAAGGTTTGTCTGAAGTGAATTTGCTCCGTCTTGTGATGAAAATGAGCTTAGGTTCATTTGTTGAGAACCATTGATAGAACTTTGGTGTAAAGCACCACTAGAAACTTGCTGCAGTGAACTTAATGAACTACACTGCCCTACCATGTCCATGCCAGCTCCAATCTGCATTGTAGATATCATGTTTTGCTGGGAGTTTGAGACTGCAGTTACAGAAGACATGGGATTATGCTGCTGCATGCTGTTCAAATTGCTCTGCTGCATGGAAGACATTGCGCCTGGTAAATTTAGAGATTGCAACCGAAGATTTATTTGGCCATCAAAGGTTTGTGGAGGCTGAGGTTTCCGGGTCCGGTTGGGGTTAAGAAAAAATGCTATTTGAGACTCAATGTTTGGCAGTCTTTCTTTGTGGTGCGGTTGAATGTCATTCTTGTTAAGCCTCAACAATTGTAAAATGTATCCTGCCGCAGCCTTATAACTTTTAAGCTTTTCCACTTGTTCATTTTTGGGCTGTTGGGGAAGATAGTCATACTGCAAAAAAGGAAAATGAAAAATGTGTTCTAAGAAACGACATTGGATTTTCTGTAAATTAAGTTTAAAGAGAAAGGTATAATAAAATATTCTTCCACCGAGTCTAATGATGTGGCTAGTTTTTAATGGGCTTGAGTTATCTATCGCCTCGCTCATCTGCATCCAGTGCATCCAATGAGCGAGGCGACAGCGATAAGTGAGACGACAGCGACGAGTGAGACGATGGGCAACGAGTCTGGTCCTGTTCAGACCAGACAAGGTTACTATCTGCAGCACCATGGGACGGCTATGGCATCGTTTGGATGCCGTGTCGTCGATGCGGCGACACCAGAAGACATAAGGCATGTCAAGCCTCCATGGCAAGTAGGATTGAGCGTCGCGACGCCAAGGCAACGACATGGCAGCGCCGTAACAACTAGGTTCTGAACTACTGAATGCATTTATTAAAAAAGTTAGTGTCTCATTTAGGATATGAGATGGCTCTCTCACACTTTTGAAATGTTGTTATGCTAACATAAGTATTCATAAAATAAAGTATTGGATTTCTGGTTTGAAGAGTAACCACAACAGTTGATATAAATGACATAATGAATTCTTTTATGTAAGCTGCGCAACTAGATTTCACAGGACTGCATTTCTACCTTGGCAATGAATGAATGAATTACTCAATCAAAGTAGTGTGTGTATCCCCCCCCCCCCCCCCTCATGCTTTTATGATGTCCTAATTTCTGTGTCACATACACTAATCACCAACTATGTAGCACGGAAACTCTCGGGAAAGAGTACGTTTCCGTTTCGTAAACTCTACGAAAACTCTTTGGAAACTCTCCAAACAAGCATTTTTTAGCAAAAGTTGATGTTTCCCGTTTCCTCATGATTTTCGCGGTTCCGACTTTCCGTGCAACATAGATCAGCAGTTTGCTATTTTATGTTGTTAATTGCAAAAACAGGCCGTGGGATTTCGACACGTTAGTTCAATGCTGAAACTGAAGTCTTCTGTCAACAGAAATAGACAGATTTTCACACGCACTTCAAGCCTTTAACTATTTCTATACTTCTATCACATCCCTGAGATTTTCACCTAAAATGGCCAATTTCAAAACCGTCTGGTTAAGACAGAAGACCCAGTATGATGTACCTAAAGCACCCGCTTTTTAGAAATTCCTGACCTAAATTACATGAATGAATATCATAATGAAACACATTCAACACTTAACTATGACCCTGCCTGTATTGAAATGTTTAAATTTATAGAAAGCCAGAACAGTAAGTGGCAAACATATATAGAAATGTTTCAACTAGATCCAGAAGTTAAATCAGATGCAATTATAAATTATTAGATGTGTTTATCAAGCATGGGCGAATCTCACCTGAGCCAATTTACCACAAATCTTCTGGAACACTTCATTTAGATTCATAAAATGCATCTCTTTCAAGGTCTTGAGCTGCAATAACAAAAGCTTTAGGAAATCAATATGGTACATCAGGAAAATCGATAACTCGATATCTATAATATCAGCAAATCCAAAGAAAAATACGAACAATGGTTCTCTATAGAAAGGAATGACTACACTGAAGGCATTAAGTAATTTCATCTAAATAATGTAACAGCAATCTCAAGCCTCTTATAACTTTATCTCGAAAATCATATGTATCTTATCCAATCTCTATAACATAACATGAAATGTGATACGCGCACTACCTTATTCAAAATAAATCCCAATAGGGATTTTTCAAAAGTTTATAAAGGAATGGGCAAGAAGGTAAAAGACAAGAGAATAGAAGAGACGCCAGAAAGTAACGGACTGGCTGAAGGGGAATAGACACACGGAAGTAAAGATAGAAATAAAAACAGACGGAAGAAGGAAGGGACGGACATCTGGGAATTGTTCGGAACCGCGAGAGCAAGATCCTCTCAAAAGATCTCATTTTTATTTTCTGCTATTTTCGTTCCTTTACCTTTCAGTATTCCCAGACTTTGATTTTGAGTTTTACCAATAAAACAAACCATATTGAGTCGGAATGTGTAGTTACTGTGTTCTTGGGTGCTGTTCTATCAAAATGCAGGAACAACAAAAAAACATGGGATTCACTTCTTGTTGATATGTATTGTTAACCTGCCCATTCAATAGAGAGAAATCAAACATTCATGAGTTCCTAAGATAGCTGATGAAAGGAACGCTGTACCTTTACTTCTTAATTCTTATTGATATTTTTCACTTACCCTGTCTACTCAATAAAGAACATTTAAAGTAACACTCTTGAGCTCCAAAGATAGCTGATTAAAGGAATGCGGTACCTTTTGGTAAGCCTCTTCCCGCCAATCACCAAGATGTGTATTACCGGTTTGAGCTGTTGAATCTAAAGACGCTACATTAACAATTTCAAATATAGGCATGGATTAAACCGCTTTAATCAGGAATAGAAATAAATTGAAGATACACCACCATATTATTAGAGAAAGCAAAATATGTACCAATGGAATACAAAAAACACTTAGATAAGTTTATATATTGAAAAAGAGAAAAATTGAGAGCCAGAAAAAAGAATCAAATCAAGGTAAGCCAGGATGTCCCACTCAAAAGTAGAGTCTAGACCCTAGAGAAACCAAAGAGGCAATGTAACTCAAAAAAGGTTTACATGTAATAATAATGCCTAGCATTATGAGGCCTCTTAACTAGGGAAACAGGCATCATATTTAAATATGATGGATGATTTCTTTAAAACAAGAACATGAGGGGGGGGGGATGTAATAAAATCAAATGCTGCAGATACATTGATAGTAGTAAACTATTACTTGATCTGCATTTGTAATATGTTAGACATGACAATATAAAAGTCGCTTTAGTTCAGAAAGTCTCCCTCCATTCTACAGATATTTCTTTGACTTCTCATAAGTTTGACATGGATTCCAACTCTTCTTCTGAAAATGGCCGGATAGATTGGAACGATGGAAGAACTATATGCTAGGCAATCACTGGAAGATGAGGAAGTGTAAGGCTTGGACATGGGTGAGATGTTTTGGAGGAAACACCTACAAAAAAACCATATGCGGCAGCAGGTTGAATTCCTTCAGATAAACCAGTAAAATTCACTTAGTTTAAAGATTCTATTGCTGACATATGGTGACCAAGAAGAGGTGTAAATATTCGGGAGGTTGGCGACAGACGATATCTTTTCTAGTTTCTTCATGAATTTGGTATCAAAAGGGTCATTACAAAAGGACCTTGGTCTTTTGAAAACTATTTGCTTGTGATGCGAAAATTGGATGTATTGGAGCATCTGGCAATGCATCCTTCGTACGAGGCTCTCTGGGTGCAAGTTGCAGTTTTGCTGGTAGGTTTCATAAAGATGGCTAAACTTTAGGAGCTTTCAGGAGGTTGGAAGGCTTTAATGATATAGTTCGAACCAGTGATGATGCTCAGCATCCGCTTAGGCGACGGATGATACTGAAGAGGGGAACGTACCGGTTCTGGGTTGAATTCAAGTTCAAGAGACTACCTCACTTATCCTTTGTTTGGGGTAGGGTGGGCCATACTGACAGCCACTGGATGAAGCTGTTTGATGATTTCGATGTGAGCTAGGAGAATAAGTTTGGAGTCTGGCTGAAAGCAGAGGAAGGAGGGGGTTTGACATGGGATGGAGCCGCTGGTAATAGACCGCGTGGGTTAAGGGGCATGGACCGATGCTGTAGAGGTTAGGAATTTAGGGAGGGGTAAGGGGATAGTTCACAGTGGCATGAAGAGGGGGGACAGTAGCACAGGAAATGGCGGGAAGACAGTAGGTGAAGGTGTGGTTGTAGAGGGGGGGTTAGGAACTTCAACAAACGCAGCAGAATATTGTAGCAGATTAATGTAAGAAGTAAGAATTACAGTGGCAGAAATAGAAAGAAAGAGAAGAACAGTTGAGACACTCGAGCAGTATCGTACTCCCAAGTCCCAGCCCCAACTAAATTTCTGCCTACCCCTTTTCCCTTTACCTGTTCATTATTATATTACTCTCCTAAAGGGCCGGCCCTCAGCCCTAAGTTTCTTGGCCTAGAACCATTTAATTGTACAATTGTAAAAGACTAATATTATTCTTATTTCTAGTACTATCTAGGTCCCTATCATCAATCACCCCTTTCACAACCACCTTGTCCTCAAGAAGGGGAGTAAGAAACATGAAAACATCCATGCCATTCAGCTTCATCAGTTCATGATTTCTGGACCTTTAGCTTCATTACTTGAACCTGCATCTTCATGTTCTTCACTGCAAGAAGGAGCAGAAACAAAGGCCTGGTGGCAGAATGCTCCCTTATGTTGCAAAAGTTAGAATCTCCCAGCAACTGTGTGTCTTGCCCCTCTTCAATCGTCTCATGATCAACAGCGCCTTCATACCTATCATAGTATTGCTGCCTCAACTGCTAGCTTCCTGCCCCATTTTCATGGCGATGGCGCATATGGCGCGCACCATATCTCGTAATCTCTCCATTGACAACTATGGGCAGAAGGCTTATCACTATGAAAAGCTCCCCTCTCTTTTGTAGTGCTATGTAGGCATGTTAGGGATAGCTCAAAATTTAGGAGGATCTGTGGTTACCAGATGAAGCAAATCCTCAGACTTCCACGCCATGTATCTCGGGCCTGAATGGACTTCTCATGGAAACTAGTCAGGCTTGAGATGAAGAGGTTATTTCTGAAATTCTTGACCAGCGAAATAGGCTGCTGGTCAAGAGCATTCCTTTTAGCATTAAGGACGTCCCAAACCGTATAGTCTGGAGGTGGGAGCAGAGAAGGGGTTACTCAGTTAAGAGCTGCTACTGGGGGTTGATAGGGAAAGGGAAGGATTGTGCAACAGAGTAGGTGGGGTAGGCAGCAATGTGAGTTTATCCTATGTATTCCTAATAAAACGGGGGGGGGGGGGGGGGGGGACAGGGGGGTGAGTTCTTACTACATCTTTCATGTGGTGCCCGGTTGCTGTAGCAGGCTGGAAATCAATTGGCTGGAGATTGAAGGGACCGCCGGCTGGTTCCTTTTAGGAGTGGTTGCAGGTGGACTTTCTGGCCACAAACAGGGAGTTGTTCTTGCTAATCCTCAGAAGTTGGGGTCTATGGGAAGACCAAAGCAGAAGATCTGGCAGCGAGTCAGATAAATGTAGTGAAGGATATTTTGAAAGCTGGTACAGAAGGGCGTGAAGCCCCCTTCACGCCCTTGTGGCAATGTGCAGAGTTAGGGAGATTAAAATTAAATACAGATGTCGCTGACTCTATGGGGGGTTTCACTATGGGTGTGGCTAAACCGTGCTTGGGGATGTGCTTTTCTCAGGAGGCAGAGATTTTGGGAAGCTCTTAGCTGGCTCAAGGGGCAAGTTCAGGACTATGTGGATGTAGAGTTAGACAAGCTATCTGGAAATTCAGAATATCATAAGGGTCATAGTAATAGAGTGTTTGGTCTTTTAGAAAAAATATTAGAGATAATGAAGGTAGTTTTGCTAGTACTATGTTTTGGTCTGCGAACCGGGTGGTTCACTCATAACTCGAGCAGCCAGTTCTTTATCTGGTATCCTACTCCTTGTATTAGACATGACTTGGACTTTGATTTGATTGATAGTAACTGTGTTTATTCCCATAAAAAAGGCACTTTAAAGCCAACTGAATATATAAGCAATCAACTCTATTTCGGGTCGCATAGCACTACAGTAGTGAATGTTTATTAGGAAAAAAAGGAATGCAAAATGATGAAGCTGCTCAATATGGATAAAGACATACTGGATGATGCATCCGGAGTAACCCCTTGTGGTTGAAAGATTTGATTCTGCTGATCAATCAAGTTGTGTTGAAGTAAAGGATTAGGATTTTGAAGCCTATGCTGCATTCCGCGTTGTAGAATATTTGTCTGCTGTTGCAAACCCAATGGTGACTGTAATGTTCCAGGCTGGGGTTGACTCTGTTGCAACATTTGCTGCTGTGACTGAGATTGAAGACCTTGAACTGGTGAAAGTGTAGCACCTGGAAGCATTTGTTGTTGCACTTGAACCTTAGAATGTTGTGACATTTGAATAGGATGCTGATTAGCAGTCAGTCCAGAGTTACTAGATTGATTTCCAGTCAGCTGCTGATGTGTCAGGCCAGCAACATTCCCGTGAGTGCCTATTTGCTGCTGATGTACACTTGGAATATTAATTTGCTGATTAATTAACTGCTGTTGTTGAACACTAGAAAAGTTATTCTGTTGGCCCATCAGCCTAGTTTGCTGGTGCTGCATATCAGGCATGTGTTGCTGGCCAATCGGTTGGTTCTGCTGGATATTTGCAACATTTTGCTGCTGCCCAATCAGATGTTGCTGTTGAGATTGTTGCAGTTGACCTTGTAACATTGGCTGCTGCATCATTGCTCCCTGCTGTTGATGAATAATGGGAGTCTGTTGTTGCTGATGTTGCTTGAGGACTGATTGTGATCTTTGCTGGATCATGGATTGACTTTGTTGTAGAACAGAAGACTGTTGATTCTGCTGAAGGTTGGTCAGATTAGATTGTACTGTAGAAGAATGCATGACTCCTTGCTGAGAAGATTGCATCTGAGTTTGTTGTAGTAGGTTTGGCTGTTGTTGTTGCTCCTGTTGCTGCTGCACTTGAGATTGGATGTTCTGTTTCAACATTTGTTGGCGTAGCTGCTGTTGGTAAGGATGTGTATTAGAGGCCTGAGATTGTTGTTGCTGCTGGGAATCGACCTGTTGTTGCCTCTCTTGCATCTGTCTAATAGAATTCGCGACCACGTTTGAATGACTCATGGTATTTCCAACTGAACTTTGAACGACAGTAGGTATGCCTTGTACACTTTGCAAATTCGAATTTCGGCTTAGTGCATTTGGAATGTTAGTCTGAGTCAAACTGCCGACAGTAGGAAGTGCAGAAACCAGATTTGTAGAATTCTGCATTCCAGATGATGTTATAGTGTTCTGAATATTTTGTGAGAGTAGCTGCTGATGGCCTTGCGATTGATTGCTCACTGTTGGAACAGGAAGTGGCTGAGCTTGGGGCTGCATTGTTTGTGAACCTAGAGAAAGGTATCATGTGACGCGACAAAGATATGAGTCAGGGTCATGCACAACTGCACAAGCAATTTTAGTACAGAAACAAAGTGCAGCATCCATAAACAATGATAACTACTTCAGTACCCAATAAGGTATCAAATTGCTATTCTGGGATAATAAAAAAACAGTAAACAAGAATCTTTTCTCATAAGAGCTGCTTTAATAAAAATAAGATCATTGATTGAGCATGGGTAACTACAAGCATTTTCATTGGTTAGGGTAGACTCCGGACTGTCTCAATGAGACAAGAGTCCAACTTCCACAAGCCTTCCCATAAAAGATGGCTACAATGTTAAAAGATTGGTTTAAATATGCCACTTCACCAAGCCAGTTTAATGAAACGTAATGATTTTGATCTACCATCATCATTACCCCAGTGCCGCCCAGTGCCGCAAAGGCTCCCACCTACGGTGAGGTGGGGGGGTCAGATTTATGCAGTCTTACCCCAATGATTTTGATCTATCATCTATCAAAATACTTTTGATTGTTTAATCTTTCATCTAGCATAGTAGTATTTCATCTTACATCTAGATTTTGATCTAGTAGCAGTTGTGCAAAAAGCAAACCCAATTAAGTCCCTGCCAGTAGTAGGGGAGTATGGAAACCCTGTACCATGAGATAAGGAAAACCTTTATCCCATGAAGACGAATGGATAAGAAAATCTCTACCAGGAGGAGTAGAGAACCCGTTTTCAAGAACACCCAGGAAAGTAAAGTTTTGGATGTTGGGTAAATAAATTTGAAAAACTTACAAGTATTTGGAATTTGAAGAATTACATAAACATTAGGACTTTCAATAAGAATAAATGGACATCCAATGTAAATGGTTGGATGAACTGTGTGGACAAAAATGCTTGGGCAATAAAAATGATGAAAAGACAAAGCAAGGTGAAAAGGGCAAGATAGAAAAGTAGGTAAGCAAATAAACAGAAAAGGAATCAAACAAAGTACTAGCAAATGTCCATGCAACACTTCCTATATAGAACCAAGAAAACTCTGAGATGCCCAATAGCCGTTGCTCTTAATCCTACCAGCTACCCTAATCCGGAGTCTCTAAGAACCCCTATGAGATGTCATCTGGTTGTGTCATACATACACTAACTAGACACAAACATCTGTTATTACCTGTTCCTTGCGCACTTTGACTACTATTTGCAGCATTAGCCTGCAGAGGATTGGCTGTAAGGTTTTGTGATTTTGTCTCCATTGAGATCATCTTTAAGGATATCTTCCGCAGATAATCTGACTGCAACAGAAAAACTTAACAGTCATACGAATAGTTGAGTACATCAAAACTATACATAATGAATGATCAATACAATGCATACCTGATCTGTTGCAGCAGCATGAATTTTTTCCTCAAACCGTACTGCAATTTTCTTAAGTTCGTGCAGCCCCTCTTGTCCGGAGAACGGAAGATGCTGCTTTAAAGTATCCATTCTATACCATCATATTCCATATATCAGTTAAAATAGAAATTAATAAAGATACCATCTCCAACTTTAAATGAGAACTAGAACCCAGGGACATCATCACATACATTGATATTGTTCATATATTACCCACCCGAGCCCATTGAAATACGAAAAAAAAAACTTATAGACACCAATCTCGAATAAAGCCTTGAACTTGATACTCCATAATTTATAATAAGAAAAACAAATGGCATTTTTGGGATTTTGCCTAATGGACATAGAATATAATGCCTCTGGAAAAAAAAAAATCGTACTATGTATGGGTTTCCAGAAAAAAGCAATAAAAGGTGGGCTTCTAGAGCCCAACATGATTGTCTGCTTGCAACGCCATCATGAATAAAAAGGCTCGAAAATAGGGTGCTAGTTCATCTCAAAAGAAGCTTTGTAATTGGTATGCAAGCAGATAGTAAAATTCGGAAATTAAGGGTTATTAAGAAAGTAAAATTCTAGAATTGGCTGCCATTTCGAATATATAGACCTACGAGCGTCATGTTACCAGATAGAATTGGCAAGGGTGCATAAAATTTACATCTTGTTAACAATCTTATGCCTGGATTCTGGTTGGAGCTGGGCCCGCCAATCGCCCGTCTCCATGGCTCCTGAAGCCGCTGGTGGTGGTGCAGCCGCCCCCGCTGTTATGCTGGTGGCGTCACCAACCTGAGCCTGTGCAAGAGATTGCGCCGCCCTCCAGTTATTCGCATCCATGTAAATACTTTCCTACAGCTTCGACAATAGTCGAATCTTTGAACAAGAAAACTCTCCCAGGCTTCCTGCTAAACTGACCATGCGTAGAACACGAACGAAAATGTCAGAAACAAACTTTCGAGTTTGCGTACAAACAAACTTAAGAAAAAAGAAGGCGAGTCAAATAGGCCTATCCGCCTATCTATCCGCACTCAATTACCTCTTAAAAACTACTAAAACTGGAAATAGGTCCTTCAACTTCCATAAAAAGGTCAAATATGTCTTTATATGGGAGGCTCTGTCCGTCCGTCGCGATTTGGACGGTTCCCTGTAGAATTTTTTGATGAAAATTTTTGAGCGTCTTATTCATCATGTCTAGTTTACTCATACCAAATTTCAGCCAAAACTTCAATCGGGAACGCATTCAAATTAATTCTTGAAGATAACCGCTTATTTAACTGCACAGTTATCTTCAAGAATTAATTTGAATGCGTTCCCAATTGAAGTTTTAGCTGAAATTTGAAATATGAGTAAACTAGACGTGATGAATAAGATGCCCAAAAAATCCACCAGGAACCGCCCCAAATCGCGACGGTCGGACAGAACCTCCTATATAAGGACTTATTTGATCTTTTTATGAAGAGAGAATTCTTCAAATAGGAGTAAAAGATAGGCAAAATGCAAAAATAGGAGTACCATGTTTTGAATAGGAGTAACTTTAGTGTTTATACAAGTATATCCCTACCCAAGCCCCAACAATTTTCATTAATAATTAAAACATAAAAGGAATAACATTAATTTATAATAAAATTGTAAAAAAATGAAAAAACACAAAAATATATCAAATAAAACATACTTCGTATTAAATAAAATTAATAAAAAATAAAAATTAATAAAATAAAAAATATTAAATAAAAAACTAAAAAAACATAATTAAAAAATAAAAAATTAAAACAAAATCAACAACCTCCCAACACCACCGGCTCTGACCACCGAAAAAAATGCCAAATTTTTTCCAAAATGCCATCATGATGGCAGATTTTGAGAAAATTTGGCATTTTCAAAGAGCAAAACTGCCATCTTTATGGCATTTTCAAAGAAAAATGGAAGTTTTAACATAAAATGGCATTTTTTCCGCCGATCGCAGGTGACATTGCTGGATGATGGCCGAGGTTGCGGCAAAGGCCTGCATAATTTTTTTTATATTTTTTAATGTGGTTTATCTATTTTTTATTTATTTTTAAAAAATTTTATTTTTAAAAAAAAATATTTTTTAAATTTTTATTATTTCAATATATTTTTTCAAATATTTTAGAATTTTTTTTATATTTTATTAGGATCAAATAAGTCATATTTTAGAATTAACTAGGTTAGGGGTATTAAGGATACAAAATTAATGTTTACTCCTATTGAAGGAAGTTTTAAGTTTCACTCCTATTTGTGCAATTATGTTTATGTTTACTCCTATATTGGGCAATTTCTCTTTTATGAAAGTTCGAAGACCTATTTCACAGTTTTCCCTAAAAGCTTCAATTATCCCTTGAACTAGTCAAAAAAGTTCAAAGATCATTTTTTGCGAGTAAATGTCCGGTCACCATCACATCATCCGGTCAGATGCCAATTGTTCATCCTATGTAGCATTGAGGGTCAAATAGGCCCTTCAACCTTATAGAGTTCTTCAATTTACCCCATCAACCCTTAAAAATTAAAATTTTCATCCGTTCCTTAATTCTTGCAACATTGTGATTTTTGCACTATTCACAGACATTACTTTGACCACGATTTTCTACTAATATATAATCAAATTATTACGTATAAAATGTTATTGAATTCCTATTAATGTGAATTTCCAAAATATCAACTTTTTATAATGTTTACTAATACATAATTAAATATAATTACAGTCAAAGTTGTACGTTGCCAAACGTGAAAGTCAAACTGTTGAAAGAATTAAAGAACGAGGGATAGTATAAAATAAAAAATATAAAATAATATACAAGTTCATAATATAAAATAGGAGATTTTTCCCAGAATAATGTTCAATAAATAAATATTTACTAAAATAGGGTTGAGTTAAAACTATTTCCCAAAATAATGTTTAAACTAACTATAGTTAAGAAAACCTCCAGTCCAATTGGCGGCTTAGCCCCGAGTAAAAAAAATCGTGTAACATTAGGCAGCAAGGAAGCACAAGAATAGAATTTGGTATTCCGTATAAATTTTGAAATTGGGTCCCACAAATAAAAACTACATTTTATTTTGAAATTGGTAAAACTCTTTTATCTCAACTTTAATTGTTTCAAAAAATATATCAAAATTTATAACTTTTTATTGTTTTTCATATGACATTAATATTGCATATAAAAAAATAAAAAAAATAATTTGACACTTTAAAAAATCTTTTGTTTTTAAAACTACAATAACTTTTGTATTTTTACTCTGCTTGTTGCAAAGTATGTATCAAAATTTATGATTTTCTATTATCTTTCATATGAGACCAAATTTCATATATAACAATTAAAAATAAGTTTACACTTCAAAAAATTCTATTTCTTAAACGGATATACCTTTTTTTTTTATTCCCAAGTTATTAGAAAAAAAGTATCAAAAGTTATAAATTTTGATATATATTTTATAACCATCGGAATACAAATAAAGAAAATTATACAGAGTAGCACTATAAAATACATATACTTGTTTAAGTGCTAATTATATTTATTATTTTTATATATACAATATTGGTGTCATATGAAAGATAATAAAATGTTACAAATTCAGAAATAGTTTTTGCAATAATTGAAGTACAAATAAAAAAGTTGCAGCTGTTTAAAGAAACTAATTTTTTAAAGTGTTAATCTTTTTTTTATATGCAATATTGGTGTCATATAAAAGATAATATAAAATTGTTTATTTTGATGTATATTTTCTAACAATTGGAGTATAAACAAAATACGTAGTACGGAGTAAGTTGTAGCATTTTAAAAAAACATACTCTGTAAGTTATTTTAAGCGTCATATGATTTTTTTTTTCCCATATTCAATATTCGTGTTATATGAAAGATAATAAAAAGTTATAAATTTTGATATTTTTATTGAGAAAATCGGAATTCAGATAAAAAAGTTATTATACTTTAAAATAATTTGGGGTTTTTTTAATTGTAAGGCCCATTAGGGGTGGGTTCGGTTTATGCGGTTCGGTTTTGACCTAAAACCAAATGTAGAATCAAACTAAAAACTTCGGTTCAGTTTGGTTCGGTTTGTTCATACTTTTTTGTCCAACCACGGTTGAATCGGTTCGGTTTTGTTCGGTTTGACTCCGGTTTTTTCGGTTTTAAACCAAAAAGACACGTACTTTCTGAAAAAAGAAATGAGATGCAAAATAACCAAAGTGCAGGAAAATAAAACACTAAGTACTAAAGAATGTCAATCCCTGCCTTACAATTTAAATATAGTGCACTAAACGTTAGTACATGACACCTAAAAGCTAAGTGCAGTAAACTTGGAAATAGTGCAGCAAAATAAAATGCAGTCCCAACTGACCTCAAGATGTGAAGTTTTTGCTTTCGTAGTGTTGGATGCAGTAGATCCCTTGGATGTAAGGGAAGAAAAATCCCTCTTCATATCTTAACTTCAGTGCACAAATAATATCCAATACTGGAAAAAAAAAAAGTAATGGAAATTATGTTAACTTAGTTAAGTATAAAGCTTTTTCCATCAATATGCACAATGAAATGATGAATCACTTTCAGTATAAATTAATAACCCCAATAGTAGGAGATTAGAAGTACATTCTAGCATTAGCAATACACAAATAAGGTATGGGTTTACAGATTTTCAGCAAGGTATAGAGACTAGGAGTATACTCCACCAAGCTATAAACACACTTTGAGCAATACAACTTATTCCTCTTTTTATCAATACTGCTTACTGTATGTATCATTAGTGAAATGACATGTCTAATAAAAACTATAAAAACAATTATATTATCCATTGACCTATAAATTTAACACTGGCTCCATACTTGAACAACCAAGAGCATGGAATCATAATCCTAACTGGATGAAATACATGGTTGAAAAAATCACTCCCAAAGAACTATAATAAAATTCAGTCAGTTGCAAACAAAACAACACACCCAAACAAAAATAAGCATGACCAAAAGTGTAAACAGAGCAAATAAAATGTGAATTACTCAATTGATGGTATGGTATGTCTACCCAAAACATCATCATCATAATGATTTCTCTCAATTTTCATTTCTGTAGGACTTTATCATACACCGTACAATTCCCAATTGTTTCTAATTGCAGGCTTCTCCCATTCTTATCTTAAATTTTACATCGAGAAGTAAAAAAGAATTAAAATTAGTAAAATACTGATTGGACGAGCTGAGCTAGAGACCTGCTGTAAACTCTAGAGAATAGAATCAATAGTTCATGTCTGCTTCACATCTTGAATCGATCTACCATGTCTTCGACGGCGGCTCATTTTTTCGAGAGCTATTCCTCTTACGTTTTAGGTTAAAAGATTATGGAGTAGTGGAGTACTACTGGACTACTGGACTCGTAAAAAGCCTCTTACGCTTTCGGTCTTGAGCGTTGACCACATGAACGACCATATACTCCATATAAAATAAATGATTTTTTTATATTTATAAATATTTCGGTTTTTTTCGGTATTTTTGGTTTCGGTTCGATTCGAAACCAAACGTGTTCGGTTCGGTACAGTTTTTTATGTTCGGTTTCGGTTTTTCATCGGTTCGGTTTATTTGGTTGCGGTTTGATTTGATTTGATTCGGTTTTCGGTTTTCGGTTCTACGAACCCACCCCTAAGGCCCATGATGGCAAAATGTATTCTAAGCTGCGTTGGTACGTGCCTACGTAACACTTTTGTCTTGAGGTAAGCCGCCAATCAGACTGGCGGTTTTCCTAACTGCAGTTAGTTTCAACAGCATTTTGGGATATATTTTTAACTGGACCCTAGTTTGGGAAATATTTATAAATTTTGCATTATTTCAGGAAAAAACTCATAAAATAGATGTCTATTTGGCCTTTTTTTTAATTAATTAATATTACTAAATAAAGGCTTGAAGACAAAAAAGTGACCCCATGAACAAAATCCCAAAAATATGACTAGCCTTTTCTACACGTGGGTTGAAA